AATGCTTGGCAACGGAGTATTGGAATTGAATCGACCTTCTGTGGCGGTCTCAGTAATCTTCTGAGTTAGACAGATTTGCTGTACTGCAAGGCACTGCTAATGACAGACCAACCAGTCTGGATCATCAGCAACAACAACAAGAAATTACATTTATATAGCGCCTTTCAGGTCAAAAGGAACTCCCAGTTAAGGGTTTGCATTTAGAGGGCAGACCAGTTACTGGGGCTATGGATTCTTTCCGCTCTACTGCTAACCCTGCAAGCCAAAGCCCTAACAGATAGGGTGGTCTAGTGGTCAGCAGGGAACTTGCCAGACAGTACTCTCAATGGAATCTATACAGCTTTAGCTCTCCACAACTGTCAGTGCATAGGGTCTCTTGTGTGTAGCAGGCTCTGTTGTCTTATCTAGTACCACAATTCCCATGTTTTCATGCAAGTGCTTATATCTAAGCAGTAATAACACTTATATAGCAGTAACATCTTCAGGAGCATCTAGAATCAAAGAAGGTTACAGCACAGAAGCAAGTTAGTCAGCCCATCAAGTCTCTGCTGGTTGTTTTTCTTCCATATTCTCCTGCTTACTCCCCCTCTCGTTTTCAAGCATCAAATTCCCTTTACAACAGTTCATGGGACTCTGCTTCAGCAATAATAATAATAATAATCCTTGCATTTGATATAGCGCTTTTCACGTCGGGAGGACGTCCCAAAGCGCTTCACAGAACACACTGTAAAGTGAATTGACTGTATATTTGTGGGCGAACGCAGCAGCCAATTGCGCACAGCAATGTCCCACAAACAGTCGTAGATTGAAAATGACCAATTTATTATTGTTTTTGGTTTTGGAGGGATTATTATTAGGCTCTGTGTGGAGTAAGGAAACTTGCCCAAGGTTTCGCCCTGACCTGCCGGGGATTGAACTCAGGTCTCTCGCTTGCAAAGCGAGTGCTCTAACCACTGAGCTACAGGACTCCACTCCAGCAACATTTTGTTGCAGAGAATTTCCCATGGCAAGCAACCTCAAATGACTAAGACCCATTTATTAAGTGCTGTGAGAAGAATTCTCAGCAGAATTGAACTGTTATTTCAATAACATCCCAGACAACCTTCACCAATAATTTTTTGTTAGTTTGATTTGCCATAGCTATTTAACCCTGCAGCTCAGAATTCATGTCTTGCTTAAAAAAAGTTCCCTAGTAAAACTCTTGAGCGATTATTAATATCAATATTACTTCCAAACCTTACTCCCATCTTCAGGAGACAAGCAGGTTCAAACAAATTGGCTTTAGCCACCCCTTAAGTATTGCTAACCTTGGGATGTCTGCACACTGCACACCTTGAATGTGAGCTTGGCAAGGTAGCAGACTAAACTTAATTGGCACAAATGAATATCAAAGACAATATTATTCAAAGATGCTGCCCAGAAATTTGCTCTTGATCTACTTAAGATACAACACCTGCCCTGTTACTGATCACAAGGAAATATTTTGCTAATGAAAGATTTCACTTCTGTACGTCAGTGTTAAAAGCAGTTAAATCACTGACTACGTTCTTGCATTGTTCCCACAATCCTCACTTTAGACCTGTATGACTTTAGACTGATTGAGCACTTCATAACAAAAAACACTGGGAGCACTTTTTAAAAAATGCGTTGCCAACTGCAAAGTTTAAATACCTGGGTTAGTCGCATATCGGGTTGCACAACATTCGTAAATTCACAGTCACAGGTACGTAGACAGCTGTCGGCAGTTAGGTAACAAGGCACAGGCAGGGTTAGGCCATTTCTTGGTCACAGGCCAAATAGAGAATGTAGGAAGTGCAGACTGAAAACAAACTAGTCTGAATATTACAAAGATTTTCTGTTAAAAGTAAACAAATTTCCATAACCAGCATTTTGTTAAATTGCGTTGAAAGACACAATTCAGATAATAATAATCCTGCATTTGATTAAACGCTTTTCACGCCTTCAAGACGTCTCAAAGCGCTTTACAGAATATACTGCAAAATGAATTGACTGTGCATTTGTGGGCGAAACACGGCAGCCAATTGCACGCAGCAGTGTCCCACAAACAGTCGTGGATTGAGTGACCAAATTATTATTGTTTTTTTTGAGGGATTATTATCCTCAGAAAAGCGATCCTATTTACTTCTAGATATTCTTGTATTTTAATAAGACATAGAATGTAATCACACATGGAGGGACTGTTGATTCCCACTCTGACCACTCGCAAAAGTATTAGCTGCTTGATGGCAGTGGAGCCACACTTGCTGCAGCTTCAAGAACTATCTTAAAACAAGTGTTTTGTTTTGCTTCTGTATTGTGTCCTCAAGCCAAATATTTAAACTAGCTCCACAACTAACTTGATCTTGTGAAATGGCACTGAGACCAAACAATGCTGTGAATTTGATACTTCAATTCTGGGAACTTGGTTCAAGACATTTTCAAAAATATAATAATATCCTTGCGTTTGATATAGCTCTTTATCACATCTTCGAGCTCAATTCGCATGGCTAGTTTGTGCTGGGAATGTTAAAACTATCTTTCTTTAGTGCATAAGTTTTATGAAATAAGTCATAAACTCATCAGAAAAAAAACACAAGAGGCATAAACAAAGATGACCATAATTACATCTAGTCAGACTGTAAGTCAATTTTCTTTTATAATTTAAGATTTCACAGAACTGTGGATAAACCTTGAATTCAATCTTAATTTGGAAACCGGTTTTCTACAGGTCTTAGAAAGAAATAGCTTCCAAATTGGGAGTTAAGAATTTTCCACAATTCTGCTCGATCATCAATTAAGACACAAGTGGCCATATAGACTAAAGTTAAGTGGAATTTGGGACATTAGAAATCTACTGAACAAAGAAATACATCATCAAAGAATGACCCAAGGTGGTTAGTTTCCAGACTGTCTGGAATAGTATTCAAAAAACACGCTGTAACTTAGAGACGTATCAAACAGAAGTAAGCCATTCAGCCCATCAAATCTGCTCAGATAACAATAACTTGCATTTATATAGTATCTTTCACATGAAGCTGAACATGAACACATGAACACATGAAGCTGTTTACAAAATTTAAATGATTTAAAAAGTGATTACATAGGCCAACTCACTGGGCAATCTATACCATAAACAGCAATGAGAAGAGCAACCAATTAATTTGGTCAATTTGGATATATTAGCTCAGAATTTTACTATTTTCAAGAATACTTCTTGTATTAAGGCAGAGAAGAAATACATGATCCGCTCAGTGGGTAAACTGAAAGCGCTTTCCAATTGCCCCATATCCGTTGGGCAGCTTGGCATGAGAGGCAGCAACTGACAGGGTTCAGAAGACTGATAAACTGTGTACGGACCCCGAGAACCGATGATTAGCAGCCCTGAAATTGCGCGATGAGGCGCTGAGGCAAGTGCACTCAAAGTTCTGCATATAATTCCTTTACTGATTACAGCTCAACACTGAGTAAAACCAGAAAAGTTGGAAGCGATCTCCAAATCTTCCACGCCCTTGAGATGTGGCAGGATTCCAATGATGTTTTAAACAACACTATCCCCACATGAGTTAAATGAACAAACTGCACAATGGGAAAGGGAGGGGGTGGGGGTTGAAATGTGCACTGTATTCCTCTTTGTGGAAGTCTTTGCAATACAAGGCAGTTACAGTAAAATCCACATAAGTCTGAAATGTGTAAATCGTAAAATCGCCCAAGTGTTACATCTGCCCAAGTCCCATGCAAGAGTTTATATTCTATGCAAATTTGACATAACTCATACTTGGCATAAGTCAGATTAAATGTATGGTCCCAATTCATACAATTTATGTGAGATTTACTGTAATTTGAAGCCCGTCCATTTATTCCAACAATAACAACTTGGATTTATATAGCGCCCTCCACGCCGGATGGCGACTCAGAGCGCTTCACAGTAACGGATCCCGGGGCCGAGCCAGGGGGAGTGGGAGGAAGGTGACCAAAGGCGCGGTCAAAAAGAAAGGTCTTCAGCCAAGACCTGAAAATAGGAAGAGAGTGGCTGAAGGCATGGCTGCCGAGGGTGGAGTGGAAGACTCGGGGGATGAGGAGGAGGCCAGACCCGGAGGAACAAAGGCAACGGGCACTGTTGTGAGGAGAGAGGTCAGAGAATATAGGGTGGTGCAAAGAATTGGAGGGATTTGAAGGCAAGGGTTAGGATCTTGAAGTCGAACCTCTCTGGGACAGACAGCCAGTGCAGTCTGGCAAGGACTGGGGTGATCGGGGAGCGGAGTTTGGTGAGGGTGAGAATGTGGGCAGCAGAGTTTTGTATAATCTGGATTTTGTGGATGGTAGTGGAGGGGAGACCGACGAGGAGGGCGTTTGAATAGTCCAGCCAAGAGGTGTCAAAGGCATGGACTAGGGTTTCAGCGGCTGTCGGAGAGAGGTATTGGCGGAGACAGGCGATGCATTGGAGGTGGAAGAAAGCGGTGCTGGTGAGGGACCGGATATGGGGGAGGAAGGATAAATTGGGGTCGAACCTGATGCCTAGGTTGCAGACAGGTTTGGAGAGTTTTAGGGAGAGGTCGGGTAGGTGGAGGAGGTGAGAACTGTGAGATTTTAGACGTTGATGAAAACCAAAGAGTATGGCTTCCGTCTTGTCAATGTTCAGCTGAAGGAACTTTGCGCTCATCCAGCCCCTGAGTTCTGACATGAGGGCTGACAGAACATCAGGCGACTGGGAGTTGCAAAGAGAGGTAGAAAAATAGAGGGCGTGGTGGTGGGTGACAACAGGCAGGTGGATGAGGCTGCTTGGCGGATATTGTGTATTTTAGATGAAAAGAAGTCCATGACCTCCTCGCACTTGGCATTGGATATGAAGATTGAGGAGGAGCCACGGAGGAGGTAGTGGGTGGTGGAAAAAAAGGATTTTAGGATTGTTTTTAGACTCCAAGACGATGTTGGAGTAGAAGGCCGTAAAGTAGTAGTAAAACTAGTAAAACAAACATTTACAGATTAGGGGAGTCTCTTACCTTGATCTGCTGGCGTCGTAACATGGCGAGCTCCCTCATGTCTCTGAATGGCTGCAGCAGGTACTGGTAGAGCTCTGTGGTTGCTTCAACCAGAGCAGCAAAAGCTTCATCTTCTTCCAGATAGAGGTCTAGCAGCTCCACCATCCTCTCCGTGGTCTTGTGTTTCTCTAAAAGCTACGAATGAATCAGAATGTATTTTACTGCTTGATCTTTCCAGTCAACTTTATTTTCTTGACCATGTATTGTTGGTCATGTGTTGATGCCTATAAATTCTCCCAATATTGGGATGTGGGCACACACACATCAGTCTAAGATGCTTATTCATTGAAAGGTATAATTGTCAGGAATCAATGTTTCGTTAGAAACTGAGATTTTTTCTTACGTGAAATTTCATTCAACCATAATATGAATCAATACAGTCTTTGGGTGTGGCCAAATGAAAACACTAAATACATATGACAAAATAAGCCAAACAAAATGTATTGAAATGTATGTTATCAATTAAAAACGTGAAGCTTTGAGGAAGCAAGTACAGTAAACTCACATAAGTCATAAATCCGGGTTGCAGGCAAACTTGCGCAAGTCGTATGATATCCGATTTAGACAATAATCTACACTGTGCACGTGTAATTCAATGCAGCCGGTGTTAGTGTGCATGTGGTAGTTTGTCATGTGGTGTCGTGTCAAGACTACATGTACCGTGACTCAATGCGTCTTCACACTGTCGCCGTAAGCGCACTTACCAGAAAACATTGGAAGCACATTCAACCGTGGAAAATGAAATTCTTCTGCACATGCATCAGCAGATCAATACTACATTTCACGCGATTCAATGCAGCTCCTTTCCCCCCCATTCTCTAACCACAGGAAAGTAGCTCCCTCTATTCTGTTCCAGTAAATGAAGAAAGAACAATGATTTTTATCGTGCCTTGTATCAAAATAACTCAAAGTGCTTCACAGGCAATTGCTGCCAAGTGTAATGACTGCATTCGTATGACACGTTTTCAATTTTGTCATTTATAGCAACTTTCATTCCCTCCCCTGCCTACACTTAACACTCCATTGGTCTTCAACCAGTCTCTGAGAGATGCCTGGGAACAGCCTGGGAAAACGTCCCTGATTTCTTGCACTCCGTTAGGTCCTGCATAACATAACAGATTGGGAATCTGTCATGTCTGTGTGAATCCAAATCCTACTTGTCACAGAACCTTGGAGCTCTGCACACATCAAAATATGGTACAGTGCAATACCTGTGGACAACATTTTAACATTATTCCCTAGATTAATCATCTTTCAATGCAAGCATACTGCAACTCCACAACTGCAGCGCGCAAATTGCGGAGAGATTACAGAGGTACGATCTTCGGTAATATTATCCTATTTTGGTTAAATCGTTCCTTCAGTACTTTGCAAGGCTTCTCACTGACTTTGTAGGTAAAGACCTATATACCCACAGGTTAAAAATCACAGTTTTAGCAGATCTAAGCAAGGTCTCTGAAAGGGGCACTGCAATCTCCTTGGAGTGAGAATATGATGAAAGACAGAATCCCTGCTCCCAATAGTTATCCAGTAACCTCTGCTGAAACGCGCTTTGTGGACATGATTGGACTCAGCTGTGACATTCCGCTTGGTCAAATACTCTAACATCTGGGCTCTCCATGAAAAAAATTCTGCCCATGTGTTGACAGATCAAGATTACATTCTCACAATTCAATGCAGCCTCTAATGTAGAATCAGGAGAGCGTTGTTAATGGTCAAGAGATGATAAATACAACTAGAGTAAAGAAATCTAATTGTTTTGATAGGAAACTGAATGGAACTCAGTTGCATGTACAACTTAGACGATTATACGATTTATAAAGATAAGACTTTTGAGAGTTTTACTACTGCAAAATCTGATGTTAATCCAATAATTACGTCCCCAAAAAATGGGATATACGATTTGTTTTTAATTGCACATCAGTGCACTCAAGAACTTTTACATGTTTTTGAGATGAAGGTAATACAGTTCTAGCCATGCTAACAAATTAAAAGTTCATAAAATGCATGTACATCATGGAAATTACAGCTCCAGGAGATCATTATTTGGCCGATCGAGGGCAAAGTTGCCCAAACTCCTCCACTGGAGACCACTACTATAATCCCTTTTAATTTTTTCCTCTCAAATTATTACTCCCTTGGGTAACAAATTAAATATTCAGTTCCTGTTGGGAAAATAAACTTAAAAATTTGGAAAGGCAACGATGGTTACAAAAGCAAATCTGGAATTAACCTCTGATAAATGTTTGAGAGATGAGGTTGTGAAGCACTGAGTGAGCAATGCCTAACCAATAATGCCTGCTGCTGAGTAAAGTACCCTCTATCCATCAATAACCAATGCTCCAAGGTCACATACGCCACCTCCCCTCTCCCCCTTCCTCTCACTACAGGGGAGCAGCTCACTCTATTCTGTTCCAGTACATAAACAAAGAACAAAGATTTTTATCATGCCTTATGTCAAAATAACTAATGACCTCATGCATGATGTGTTTTCAGTTTTATCATTTACAGCGTCTTTCATTTCCCCCCACTGCCACACTCAACACTCCATTGATCTTCAACCAGTCACTGAGAGATGCCTGGGAACAGCCTGGGAAAAAGTCCCTGTATGATTTCCTGCCCTCTGTTTGGTACTGCGTAACATAACAGATTGGGAATCTGCCATGTGGCTGTGAATCTAAATCCTACTTGTTACAGAGCCTTGGAGCTCTGTACATATCAAAATATGGTACAGTGCAGTGCCTGTGGACAACATTGTAACATTACTCACTAGATTAATCATCCTTCAATGCAAGAATACTGTAACTCCACATCTGCAGTGCACAGATTGCTGAGAGATTACAGCAGCAGACTATCAGAAGTAATATTATCCTACTTTGGTTAAATTATTCTTTCAGTAGTCTACTTTGCAAGGCTTCTCGTTGACTCAGTAGGTATTAATAATAATAATCCTTGCATTTGATATAGCACTTTCCACATCTTCTAGACGTCTCAAAGCACTTCACAGAAAGTGAATTGACCGTATATTTGTGGACGAAACACGGCAGCCAATTGGGCACAGCAGTGTCCCACAAACAGTCGTGGATTGAAGTGACCAATTTATTATTTTTTTCTTGAGGGATTATTATCAGGCGTGTGGAGTAAGGAAATTTGCCCAACATTTTGCCCTACTGGGAATGGAACCCAGGTCTCTCGCTTGCGAGGTGAGTGCTCTAACCACTGAGCTGCAGGACTCCAGGTAAAGTTACTGGTTAGTTTGACACTGAGCCACGCACTTATATACTCGCAGGTTAAAATCACAGTTTTAGCTGATCTCAGTAAGGGCTGTGATAGGAGCACTACAATCTCCCTGGAGTAGGAATAAAATCAGCCAGAATTCCTGTTCCCAATAGTTATCGAGTAACTCTGCTAAAACACGCTTTGTGGACATGATTGGACTCAGCTGTGACATTCTGCTTGGTTAGATACTCTATCATATAGGCTCACGCATGAAAAAGGCTACTTGGGCAAGGTCTGGGAATGTGCCAAGCACCTGCGGAGTTATACCGCAGAAAAGGTCAGCGTAGGCAGGAGAAGGGAAGACAATGAAAATGGGTATATTACCTTTTCACAGCAAGTTCATTTTAAAAAAAATTTAGTACTGTAACTTACCATCTTTCAACAACTAAGAAATATTTTTTTCCGAATCACAAATTTATTCAGAATTCACTCTTCTTTCGTGTGAAAACATTAGATTGTCTGACCAAAATAATAGCCTTCATTCCATATGTGTATACCACCTATTCTGGTTACGTATAACATTTTAGTCAATGTTATTAGCCTAATACTGTAAACTGCCTTGATTAATTCTTACTTTTTTGTTGCACGGTGAACTGCCTGACTCATTTAGAAAGAAACCATTACGTTTATAATGCATTATTAATTATTTGCAGGGAGTGTTTGTTCCCTCCATATCCTGTAAGAGATGACTATTTTAAAAATAAAATCCAACTTAAGTGTTCCTATGAGAACAATATCAGCTATGCATAGCAAAATGTATAGTATTTATTCTATTTCAGAGTTTAAACATCTGGTGAAAACTATGGAGGTTAAAAATAAAGCAGATCAAATGCTAGTAATTATTTTTTAAAATGTGGTGAGCTAGGTCTGTAATGGACTGTAAACTACTTTACAGAACGTGCACACACTGCCACCAAAACAGTTACTGCAACACACCTGTCACAGCCAAAGACGCATCTTAAGAATTCTACAGCACTAAACTATTCTGCTCGCTACTTTCCACACATCATCTGCAAATCCTCATTTCTCAACTGGGCCAGAATTAAAAACAAATGATTCCAACTCAGTATAGATAAGAACCGTGGGACTGGATCCCAAAAGGAAAAAGAAAATGTTATCATCAAATGTAAATCTGAAGTCCCAAGCTTGAAATGTCAAACGTCCAGATATAAAGGAGCCGCTATGTATGCACAATTAATAGCTGCAAATCAAAGGAGTGTGGAAATGGGACTGGAGGTTGGCTTTCTCTCCCTTGAAACAAAGAGGGATGGGGACCCCACCAAATACAATGAGCCTCATACTGTACACAGGGTATTTGAGGAGTCCTGTATCTCAGTGGTTAGAGCACTCGCCTCGCAAGCGAGAGACCTGGGCTCAAGTCACGGCATGGCGAAATGTTAGGCAAGTTTCCTTATTCCACATGCCTCTATTTACCTAGTAGTAAGTAGGAACCTGGTTGTTAGTCGATTGACGGATAGCTTTTCCCAGGGTAATAATTTCTTTAAAAAAAACAATAAATTGGTCACCTTAATCCACTACTGTTTGTGGGACACTGCTGTGCGTAATTGGCTGCCGCGTTTCGCCCACGAAATACAGTCAATTCACTTTAGAGTATATTCTGTGAAGCGCTTTGAGACATCTCGAAGATATAAGGCGCCATATCAAATGTAAAGATTATTATTATTGACAGAAAAAGATACGAGAAGTTGAAGAAGTTAGTAGTCAAAAAAAGTGAAATTGAGAAGAAATCCTTGAATACTTCAAAAATAAAATCCAACATAAGCGTTCCCATGAGAAACATATCAGCTATATGTGGCAAAATGTTTTATTATTATTAAATCAGATTAAGTCAAAGA